CAAGGCAGGACTCAAGATACATTCCACCTGTGTTGCCCCAACAGAATTAACCTAAATCCCATCACAGAGTTGATTGCCAGTCATTATAGGGAATGACTACTACCAGCTGCCCAGCCAAGTTGATACCTGACCTTAACTACTACAGCACCCCAAACAGGCATGGATAATGGGATTTACAAAACATCACAGAATGGAGGACAATGGCTAGAAGGGCCACATCATGCAATTCACTGCAGTTGTGATTTGGGTCAAGGTGTCCAAGTAAAAAGGAATCAGTCTGCACACTTAACCTATTCAAGAAAACAGGTTGACATATGTGGTTCTAAGCACATGTTCATTTGTGGGTCACAGAGAAAGGCTGTCTTGGTCAGTTCCTCCCATAGGATCACTGCTTGGTCACTTTAAATCTCCTTGCTTTTTCCCCTCTAATTTATTAGTGTCTCTTTACGTATTGCCTTCTGTTTGAAAATCCAAAGACACAAATTATTGCACATAAAAGAATAATGCTTTTAATATACATGTGTAAATAAGAATTTTGAAGTTAAAGTAGACATAATGAAGTCCTGAGACCATCAACACTTAAAAGTTTTAAAAGCACCCATAATACTTGCATTTTTAGAATTTCCCTGATACCTCCTTGACAAAAAAATAAAGTTCTACTGTGGTATCTATTCTTGTAAGGTGAGATGTCATAAAGCAGGTGTTAGTTGTGTGCTAGGAATTTTTCTGCAGAATTTATTATATTTTTATATTAATTTTGTTTACCCAGATAATAACTGTTTAGGTTACATATTCAATATGTTTTGATTAAAAATTGCCATGCATTTTAAACAACTAACATTTATATTGCTCAGCATGAACTTGCTACATGTACATTTTGATTTTGATTTGAAAGGAGAGTTTTCCTTGTAATAGTTACTACCTATGATTCAGTAATAACTGTAGATTCCTGGGCCTCCTTTTAGGTTTTAGGAAGAACTCCTTTCTACATTTCTGCTCCTCAGTCTTCTCTCCCAGGTGTAAGGTTCAGCCTTGGGAGAATTGGTTCAGTAATGGGCAGATTAGTCAGGGACACTGAGATATCTGAAGCCTCCTTGAATGGGGTTTGTTTTCTAGATAACTGTTCAGTTAGGTCATTGTTATGAGAAAACATAAGCAGAGGTTTATTCACTTAATGATTTAGATGTTGTTGTTGTTGTTGTTTGCCGTCGAGTCGGCCCCGACTCATAGCGACCCCTCCTTGGGTTTCCGAGGCAGTATCACTACGGAAGTAG